TGTAAAAAAAACCTCTGGTGAATCGTTTTGGCTATTTAAAACACCAGTCCGGAGAAGGGGGAACTTTAGCCCTGTATTTGAAATCGTGGGCGGCACCCATGGGGCGCTTTTATCATCTTTATTCTGTGAGTACAACCAAGAATTTGCATTTGTCTCCTATTTTACAATATTACACCATGTTATATTTGTGTTCATAGGACCATCAGCAAGATCCCTAAAACGATGTGTATATATACAATACTAAATGTCCTGCTATCCTCTGTAGTGGAGATAAACTCTTCCCACACATCCTCACAGTGGATCACTCTATAAAATTACTGGGCCAAAGACATGGACTTAAAGTGCCTACTATGGATGCCTAAACACGTACACCGAACGTACTCCCCACTACAACGGTGCTTCTGTTGACTTGGGACACAGCCCATGCTGTGCTATACACCACTCAACCTTGGTCACAGGCTGCACCAATACTCAGTCTACATATAGCCAATTCAATGATTGATCACTGAAAGTAGGTAAATGGGGCCATATTCTCATACCTCCAATTCATATTTATGCTGATCTACCGGAAAACTAACTCTAATGAACCAACACCGAGATCAGTGATTGAGTCAGCATGTCTTGCACCAACCCTTTCAATGAAAATACTTTATATGTGTTACAACCCACTTAACACAGGAGACAAGAAAACACTGGATACATTTGACCTAGCATGGCAGATTGACTTAAAACAATTATTTGATATATTGCAATAGCCGTAAGCATTCATTGCACACAAAAGGAGAACATTCTGCACCTTACACTTAGAATTGCTGAGAAAACTATTCCACAGTTGGTATATGGTGCCAGTTAGACTGGCCAAAATCTTCCCGGGCATGAATGACACATGCTGGAGATGTAGAGCTGGCAAAGGCACAATATAACACATATGGTGATCCTGTAACCACATTCAAATATACTGGCCAATGGTAGAGGGCATTCTCTCGCATGTACTACAAAATGAAATTACACTCACACCAGGCCTGAGCCTATTGCTTTTAAACCTCGAAAGTTTTCCTGACTGGAAAGCAATTTTTATATTTCACACACTTGTAGCAGCCCTGGCACTGATTGCATCAAATCTCTAGCAACTATGAGCCAGAAGACAGTATAGAACACACAATCTTCTGGAATGCCAAAGGAAAATGGGATGCCCATATAAACACACTAGAACACCAAGACAACTAACACATCTCTGAAAATTCCCACTCTATGGTCGATTGACCAATATAATCCCTACAACGAAATATGAACCTGCCAACTTATCCATACTCATACTCAGACAGGGCAGGCACCCAAAGTGAATGACCCAGCTTGGGAAAGACCCTAGGATTCCTATAATAAAACATTATGATACAGCCGCTAGAATCAAGAGGGCAAAGGGTGTCTCAACTCTATGGTACCCTGCTTACAATCACTATAAGAGATCAGAATGGCTTACCTGCTTCACACTCCTACTCCCCTTTCCCTCTCCTTTCTTCTCCCTTTGCCCCTCTCTACTAACACCCCAAATTGTACATAGTTGGTGACAATGTATATGCAAGCTTCCTAGAATAAACGGCACAAAAGTCCCGAGTCAGAGTATCTAACATGGGGCCTCCAGCACAGAATCTAACCTAGCTCTATTCAACAATAAGTAAATCTTAAATGTGCAAAAGTTATACGATAGACCACCAATAGGTACTGTAGACACCTGTGGCCCGCTAAGATACACACTGGGCCATAAATATCTTGTGTGAAGATCACAAAGTTTTTTCTCTCTCTCCCCCCTCACTCTGTGATCTTCATACAAGATATTTACTACCCTCTGTGAGAATGGTGTCGATTTTCTATCAAACCTGTGTCTTATCTGCACTCATGTCGCTTTAACCCCTGTATCACAACTCAACTTTGAATTCTATGTGTTGTCTTGCTCAGAAATGCTTTAGACTTGAAAAAAGGAGGTTCTCCCGAAAGCTTGTCATTAAAAATGTTGTTAGTCCTATAGAAAAGGAATTACAAGATACAAATTGTATCTGTTTTTTAGAGCTAAACTATAGTTAGTTCTGTAGCATAGTAGCCGCTGGGTGTTATACTCGGTACCTGAACATGTTTATAAAATACTGGTAGACTAGCATACCCATCATGAGGTAAGATGTATCTACAACTTCATTACAGATATTTGCTAAATATAATACATACAAAAAATGGAGCTTCTAAGTGGTATTTTAACAGATATTCTGTAAAATAAAATTATACAACAATAGTACAGTATGTAAAATACTAAAAAAGTAAGATAAAAGAGTGATATCACTCACAAGCCTGGAGTCATAACCTCATATGACTCGGATAGTATGTGCCCTTGAACTGTGGGGATATTTATGGGATGATAATATTAAACAGTCGAGAATTGCCAACTTTTTCAATTCTCTTAGATCTTAGAGATTGTTTATCATGTAAGTGAAATGTATTCTATAAATAAAATCACAATTTGTTATAAAAATAGATTAAATTTATTGTAGCAAATTAATTAACAAATAATATTAGGCAGCATGCATGATAATAATCAGTGCATATTTAGTATAACATAAGTATGCAATACAATGGAATGGCTATACACGTTCCAATGGCTAACAGCATCATCTGTCACTTAAGATTTATGAGGGTACTTCATGGACAAAAGTAAAGCTTCACACAGCGAAAAGCCATAAAACTTTGGCTAACAGTTAAATCAACTGAGTAACCCTTTCAATGCTGGCTAGATCCTCCTAGGCATATAGTATCCTATTCTCATGTGATTTTCAATCAAAATAACATTCAGACCAGCTCATTAATCATTTCCTGGAACCATCTAATAAGAATAATCTACCAGATTTTTACAAAAGCCGAATTTTAATTTGCCTAAAAAGATATGTTATCTTATTTTAGAGCAAATCAATACACCTGGATAAAAACAACGGTATGCTAACACGTGATAATATCACATTAATATATAATTATTCTTAATTCCACCTGCAGAATGGAATGTTTATAACTATATATTCTTTAGTTAACTAAGATTTCTAAATTTTGAAATCTGACCGTGATTTATCCAGTCATATATCATGCTATTAGTCAATTTTAATTAATTTAAATTAATTAAATAAAACCAGCATAATTACCAGTTATGCAGATATTCTCATCAGATGAGTAGGTAGTCCCAAGAACTTGTGTGTTAGTTAGAAAGTCAGAGTAAAATTCTAAGTGTCAAAGAGTTGAATGTCCAAGAGAGTTTAAGAGTAGAGTCTTAGTCCCAGAGAATGTTTCTTGAGTCTCTCTCTCTGCATGTCCGAATCAGAATTCCCAAACTCCAACTCCCTCTCTCTACCAACTACCTCTCTGATAAAGCCAATAGGAAACCGTAGGTGTGTTCAATCTATGGATCGCAATTTAGGTATTTGATCCATAGAGGGCAGTATTGCCTAACTAATCCTTCTTATCCAGTAAAGAGTTAACTTTTCCTGATGATGATTTTGACGTCATTTGGCTTATCTAAAATGACTACCATAACTTAGATTTGCTGTCAGTTCAAAAAGTGTTTGTCTCAGTCTTTGTGGCAACTACTTTGATCATAATTTCTAAAATTGACAGTTCTAAACTCAATTTCACCCCTTACTTACAATGGGACCTTGTAAAGTTTAGAAAGTAAAATTAATTACTTAGTCTTCTCTGTCACTAGTGTCTGTGTTTATATAATGCATTCCTTTAGCTCAGGCTCAGTGGTTAATGAACTCAAGGAAATTATGTGTCTTTGTTATCCTGAAGATAGCAAAATGGAGTCCGCTCTGTTCTGAGTGACTCTGGCAATATACCTTTTAATTTCTTTCTTAGCACAAAATGTCTGCAGATATAAATATCCTGACATAACCCCCCTTAGTAACTTTCATAGCAATGAATAATTTAGCCTATGAATAGGCACTATAGAAGTTACCAGACATATTGTGCACTCACACCATTTCTACTGACATAGGCTCGTGCGTGGAATGAACATTTTTGTATATTTTTGTACCTGTAAGAGCTTTGAACTTTACAAAGTACAATCAACCATAATATTATTATTAACATAGTACCCCCAATAACAATCTTAACATGGATGAACCAGTCAACACGAGTAATAAGGTCAGTATCTATATCAGAGTACTTAAATGTGTCCACAGAAATGTTATATTTTCTGATTGACATTTGGATAGTGTGGTTGGGCTTATGGTCCAGCAAGAACTTTAGATTAGGATCTAGAGGGATATCTATATTCTGGAAGGGATCCACTATCTCATTAGCACTTTCGATGATGTCAGTGTACACCGGGTATAGCGTAACATCACCGATGGTGATATGATAGTCGTGAGGTACCTTGAACAGTGAGACAGGTGCTGATAAGGCAATTACTTTATTAGTCACCTGGTCCCTGTGAAAAACACTCATGTTTTAAGACACGTGCTTACCAACCATTTATCTTTTGCTAAGATAGCATGTACTAACACATTACTGTCGGTTTTTGACATAGTTACTTGACATGTTTCAGAGCCATGTTTAAGGTACTCAAACCCACACAAAGCATTGGTAGAATCGTACACAAAAGGTTTTCCATCACACTGGAAATTATTGTCTTTGAATTTCTCACAGTCATTCAAAATGGGTATTGAATACCAATCTGGTACCCATGGTTGAAAAGCCAAAACATCTGGGGTTTGGACTTTTACGTGGATATTTTCCTTCCATGTACCGACATTGTAAATTGTTTTCATTTGAAAAATGTTTTTGGGAGTTACATAGGGTATGGCCAATAAAAAGCAAATCTCCATGCGTTCTGGATCAATTAAGAGAGTTATATCACTCCCCATCTCAAAGGCCAGATTTAATTGCATAGGCTCAATTGTTTCTCCATCCACATTGGCAAGCATCGCATGAACAATATCCTTGGATACAAAGTACAGAGGTATGCGTCAGCCTGCCAATTCAATCATTCCAGTTTGCACTTCGTCAAGAAAAGCAAGTGTGTGGCACAATATTGGGTCATGCAGAAATAGAAGTTCACGCTTAAATAAGTCATGACTTTGGTGCAACTCAGTGGGTTTGGCAATTAACTTCGAATGCAAATTTGTTGTAACAACTGTGTCTTCCACAATAGTTAACACGTCTTGGAGAAATGTTCTTTGCTGGTTTATCACCTGATGAATATCGTTAATGTGTTGCTTTAGTGCATAGATTTCCATGTCCAGCTTTTGGACAGTAATAGAGTTGGCTGCAGACATTCCAGTTGCGACAACTGCACCGACAGTGGCACAAACTAATGCAACAATTATGGCGGTGAGGAACCTTTTGGGTCGGTTGCTCATCGAAATAGTACTGGATACAAATGGTTTCCAGGCTTGCTCCAAGATGTTTCGCACACGGTCCTGTGCTCTTTGGAGGTGCATCTGGTACCAAGTCTGTAACTCAGGAAGCTGCATCGATGAAATGTTGTATGCCTTCTCAATGGAAATCTTGAGGTACAAGCTGACGAACACACGTCGGGTCAGGATCCTCTTCTCTGTCAAGATGAACCCTGGTGTCTCTTGAATCAGGATGCTGGAGGATGGTCCCATCTCTGTGATCGCGTCGGTCCGAAGCTCTTGG